TGACGCACAAAACCAACAAAAAATCACTAGCTTATTTCACTTTTTACTTCACGCCTCCTTTCCCCTTTACACTAAAAAGTTAGTAGCGTGAGGGCAAAGACTGTAGAGGTCTTATTCATCTCTATGTTCCGAGTACCTAGAATTACTCATAGTAGACTCTCAGTAAGTATCTGCTGAATATTTGAATGAATGAATGGAACGAATTGGACAAATGCTTGAAATTAAACTAATTAGAGAGTAAGGGAAGGCTAATATTCAATATAGTATAAATTATAGGATATTCTGACTCAGTGGTTTGAATATGTATTTGTCTTAACATTTTCCAAAAGCTATAAAATATATGGATATCTGGCCTCCATCTCCCAACAATTAATTCGTAATATCTGGGGTTGGGGACTTGGCATTGGTATTTTGTAAAGCTCTCTAGATGATTCGAAGAAGCTTTTTTAGCCAGGGCTAAGAAACACTGGCCTAAACAATTAGCATGTAATTTTGGATCTACCATCAAATGGAGAAATCTAGTTGTAATAATGACCATATAATACAATTCTAAAGAGAAAGGGGGGACCTTTATCTAAGATGAAGCATGGAAGGAGCTGACAGTTTCTAACAAAAACCCCTTTCAGTAAAACAAATTCACATTGGTATCTATCTTCCAAGAATACTGAAAACACAACAGATATTTTATAACAGTGCTAAAATTCAGCCTCATCCTGAAAGGAATTTGTACAATTTAAGCCTCAAGGAAAATTCAGTTACTCATGACAGAGACAGGAAAAGGAAATGAAAGACAATAGAAACCTGTCTTGGGAAATTAATAAATAATTCTATTTTTCTTCATCTCTATCAATCACTACATTTAACTTTAAGAACCAGCTCAAAGTTTACTTACTTCAAAAACTTTCTCTGCCTAAATTAATCACTGGAGCTGTATTTTACTGTGCTAGTATACTATTTGTAATTAGAGCAAATAAAGAAATTATGAGAAAGAATTAGTTTTGGATGCATTAAAATTAGAAATAACAATTAGTAACCCAAGTAGAGATATCAGACGGCAATTGGATATATGTCTGAAGTCAAGGGACTGGGTGGACTGTAGACATAGCTGACCTACTGGGTCTTTGACCTATAGAACAGCTCATCTTCCTTGGGGGTGTAATGATGAGAGTGTAGCTTTAAATTGTCAGTTAAGATTACAGTGTATAATGATAGGTAATTCCAAGTTTGGTGATATTCCCAAGGGTCATTAATATTGAACCACATACTGACACATTATGGAATAAATAATAAAAATCCTCATTATTTATAGGGGCTTCATCATTTTGCTAAATACAACTATCAAAATCAATGAGTTTCAAATTTAAAAACTTTCTAGTGCATACTTAAATGCCAAAGTATTCTATAAAATTTGATGCTCAATTTGAAATTTAAGTGTGACTATTTTAAATCTAATAAGCAAATTTAAATGAGCAAGTTAAAGATAAATTTTAACATTTACAATAATAAAATTTTTAGATTACATCCTGATTTTGAGTGTTTATTTTAATCAAAAATAACATAACATTATAATTGCAAATCTTGAGAACAGTCAAAATCAAATCAAAGCTGTACTTTTAAAACAAGGCACTAAAAATAAAATTTCCAAAATATATAACAGTTATAAAATATCTATACATGCAACATAATCAAATCTGTGAAATTATTTATCTTAACTGGATATACACAATTCTTGGTACCAACAAGCAAGAAAATCTCCATCTATAGAGTTTTTTTCAGAGTAATCTTTACCTGACAGCAAATTCTTATCTTAAGTTAAATTGATATTCATTATATTTTCCTAAGAATTCCTTTCAAGGCAAACACAACTAGTCTGAGAATTCTCTGAAGTCCAAGTAGAAACACTGTTATAGTGGCCCATCATACCAATAAAAAAGAATCAGCACACTGAACTAAACTCAACAAAGCAAAGATGGAATAGCTTACCAGAAAAATAAAGCGTTAGGACAAGAAAAGATTTTGAAAATAGGAGAACACTGGGTCTTGTAAAAGAAGGGGAAGTGTACATGTAGGCTCGGTCTTTTGAATAAAACCAAGTCTTTTTTTTTAAATTTTGTTGTGTAAAAATATAACTTGGAAAATTAAACTATCATATGCTTTTTCAAGATTGCAGCGTATCCACATATAAAATATCTAGGAGATAAATTTTTTAATATTTTTATTTAATTGAAATTATAAAATTAATTTCATTACTTTGTACATTTGAAATAGTATTTTGATTTTGTTTTGAGTGCAATAATTTGGATTTTTCATTCGTATATAT